TATATATAAAACTATATAGATCTCAAAAACACGGTGTCGTGAAAAGCAGTGATATTATTTTTGTAAATTTTAAAAACACAAACCAGGACTAAATATTGGAATGGTTGCATAAATACGTGGGTAAAAGTATAAAATGGACGGGAACAATACACACTAATTTATAGATGCTTCTGAAAGGAGACTTAACTAATTGTGCCATTTTATTTCTTTAAAACGGAAGACTAAGCAAATATTATAAAATGAAATGTGTTAATTCTGAGAGGTGGGAGTTGATTCTATTCTTTGTTCTTCTTAGCATTGTTTAAATGTCTCAATATATAAATTATACTAATAAAACACATAACATGGATCACTAAAACTTTGAGTCTAAGAGTTAAGTGTAAAGCTGGTGGGCCTGACTCCCTAGAGCCCCTCATTGTGTTGTCTTCAAGGGAGCCCTTCCCACATCAACGATCTCAATAACAGATCCAAGAACATTTTATCTTCAGAGATGAGTTAATCACCAACTCTCCATCCGCAGCCCCTCACGATTTCATGTATGAATTCCTTGTGCTACTTTCCTTCCTAGTGGTACCAAGCTTCTGGAACTATCTCAGGTACCAGAGGTAGCCTGTTATAATTTCAGACAGCCATTCCTTTAATTAAATAAAAATATGTCTTTCTCTGATTCCCATCCACTCAACCTAGTTTTGCCTTTTCAATCATACAGATGATATTCCTCATATAATAGAAGAAAGTTAGCATGTCATCCCTGAGGACCTTCCCAAAGCATTAAACGTCAGCCACTCTTGATGTGACCCTCCTTGGGTCTCCTCATGGTCCTGTAGTCAATTTTTCTCTGTATCTCTAGATCCTGCAGTTTACAAACCCCGGGGAATCGCAAAGTATCCTCAGTTCTGCACCCTCAGTGCTCACAACTGGCACAGAGTAAATTGGGCAAGTGCTCAATAAATACTGAATGAAGGAATGAGAAAATGAGTTTTGCAAACACTATGAACATTATATGGCAGCTATTTTGATAACGAACAATTAGTGCTAAACTGTCAATGACCACCTCCTTTCTTTATATATATGTTTATATTTCTTTATATATACTTGTATGAATTATAAAACTATCTAGTTGAAATCCTTTACTCTCTTGGATACTATAATTCAAATTCAGCTGACCTTTTTAGATGGAACAATCCTGACTTCCATGTCATTATTTGGTCTTCTCTAGAATTCCATCTTTGAAATTTGCTCTGTGTCTATAGCACCGTATCCCAGAATGGGCTTCCCTTTTTTAAGCCTTCAAACAGTAGTGTATTTACAATATTAGTCAGAACTTGCTGATTTATTAATTCTAACCCCAAAAAAATCAAGAAAAGAATTTTCAAACACAGTGCTAGGCATGCTGCTTGAGTCTCCTTTCTATTTGTATGTAAAAAAGTTTTAATATGTCTCATAGTCAAGTCTATCAATCTTTAATTATGGTTTTTGCCTTTGATGTCATATTAGACAAGATTATAAATTATTCACCTATTTTTCAGTTATATCTCATTCTTCTTCTTCAATTAATCTGATATCTGTATTTTGTATAAATAAAAGATTCAACTTTACAATTTTTCCTAACAATAACTAATTATTTGAACTGTATTCTTGTAATAATACCTTCTCCACCAACATGAAATTCTGTGTTTATTATATGTTACCCTTATATGCTTAAGTCTATCTGGGGAATTTTCAAGATGATTTAGCCTCTCCTAAGTCTCTATTTTAGTAAAAAGTAACATACTGCCTTAGTAATAGTAATTTTATAATATGTTTTAATACTTGGAATTATAAGTTCTTTCTTCATTATTATTCTTTTTTCAAAAATTTGCTTTTCCCAGTCTGTTCATTCCTCCAGATGAATTTTAATAATCATTTTGCCAGTCTCTCCCTAAAAATCTCTTTGTGGTTCTATATGGAATTGCATTAACTTTATAAATTAATTTGGGGAAGCTAACATCATTACATTATTTATTATTCTCATCCAGGAATACAATACCAATCTCCATTACTGCTGATCTTATTTTGTGTTTCTCAACAAAATGTTATTTTCTTCATGTAAGTCTTGTACATTTCTATTATAGCTTACTCATAGATATGGGATTTTTTTCATCATGTTTTCTATTTGTAGCTCTCATAGAAAAGTCGATAGATTTATACACATTTATCTTTTGTATGACCACTTAACTGAAGTCTCTTATTCTAATAGTTCTCCGGTTGATTTTCTTGGGATTTGTAGTAAATTCATATAAACACACACACACACACACACACACACATATATGTGTGTGTGTGTGTATATATATATATACACACACACACTTTTTTAAGGAGAAAAGATGTCATCTCTTTTCTAATAATTGTGAACTTTGAGAGACAGCATATGATAGGATTTAAAATTAAAGATTCATGAGTTAAGCCACTTGAGTGCTTATTCATCTCTACCACTTATTAGCTATGTGACCTTGGCCAAGTTACTTAGCTTCTCTGGGCCTCAACTTCCTCATTTGTAAAATGAGAATTATAGTAGTCAATATTCCCTAGGATTGTTATGAAGATTAAATGAATTAATATTTGTAAAGTATTTAGAACAGTTTCTAGTATATATATTAAGAAATTTTAAAACGTTAGTCATTTAAAAAATTTTATTGCATTGGCTAGAATTTATAGAATGATGTTAACTATAAGTGATGAAATAGGGCATGTAGTAAGTGTCTACGGTTTTTCTGTTTTTTCTGCTTTTTCACAATTTAAAAATATCTCTCTATACCTAAATTACTATGTTGTATATATGCATGTTCTTAAAAGAAATATAGTTACATTTTATCAAATGTCATTTGAAATCTATTAGGAGGTAAAAATAGCAGTTTTATCCTTTAGTCTATGACTATGAAATTATAATAAATTTCTCAATATTGAAGCACGTGTACATTTCTAGAATAAACACGATTTTCTTGTATTATTCTATTTTGTTGATTTCTACATTCCTGTATTTAGTATTTCAGTGAATTTTTGTGATTTTCTTTTTTGTGTTACGTTTTTTAGTGTTTTTAATTTTTTTGTTTTTTAGTTAACTGTTTTTTTTAGTTAAGTGCTTTTCATTAAATGAATCAGAAAAATGTTTCATCTCTTTTGTAAAGTTCATAGAGTATGGGATAATATGTTCCTTAAAAATGTATATTTTCAACCATCGATTATAAATTCCTGATGCAAACAAGATACTTTGCTCATCTAAACAGAGTATTTTAGCTCCTGCCGAATCTCCCTATCCAAGCTGGTCAAGGACATAGGCTTAAGCATCAGACAAAATCTGGCTCAAATCCTAATTTCACCACCCACTAGCTAAATGTGTGCACTTGGCAAGGTACACTTTTGTCACAGGGAATAACTATGCCTTCTTTACTTTTCCCACACAGTTATCGTGAGGATTACATGAGATCATGTTTATAAAGCACTATCCACTCCACTCACAATAAAGACTCAATTATTTTATGTTAGTCTTAATTTTCTTTAAATACAAAATTAATGTTTACAAATGTACGTGCTGGTTTTTCTTAGTATGGAGATTTCAATTGTTTATATAGAAATATAAATGCTTTTTGATACAATTTTTTCATGACATTAGTTCATAATAAAAGGTAGATTTTAATTAAAACATGTTATTCTCCACTCACACAAACTTAAAAAGTTGACAAGAAAGTAGTAAAATGCTCAGATAACAAGAAAATGAACCCACTGCCATTGTCTAAATGAAATCGCAATGGGTTAATAGGAAAACTGTACTGGTTTTCAGAAAACCAGGCAATGAGCCTAAACCAAATGTAAAGTCTTCCACTCTTTCCTGTTCCCTTGGAGCTTTGTTCTCATGGGAATCCAAGAGTGGGAGGAGGCTTCCCACAGGCTGAGGTTTACTCCATGGTCTCTGATCTGCCATCTTCACTACAACAGGGGAGCAAATCTCTCACTCTGAGTGGGAAAACACAGTCCTGAGGGGCTGGAGGGGCCTCAAATACAACAGCAGCACACAGAAAACCGTTTCTCAAAAAAGCATTAGAGATTTATGTCCACCAGTCAGTGTCATCAAGACTATTTACTTGTATGTATTGATAACAAAGCTGTCACTATGGTCTCTAAGGAGATCCGTATTAGGTGAGTAGTAAGTTTATAGGATCTGATCGGTAATACTATAAGCTTTTCTTCTGTTTTAAAGGATATAAATTTAAAACATTATTTTGGTGGGCTAGCTGCCTCCGTGGAGAACTATTTAAATAAGCTCAGCTGAGAATGTAAATATCAAACCAAGCTCAGTCTCTGTACTAACCACTGGCCCCTGGCAGACACAGGATGGAAATGCCTAGCTCAAGTTCTTGGCATGCATGCTATTAATTTGACATTAACAATAGACTCTATCAAGCTTCCATTTAACCATATTGATCTGTTTTCTAAAATAAAAACCTCCCACTTTATACCTTTTCCTTGGTGTCCTCTGGCTTTATAAAAACAAAGATATTTTCAGGGACACCCTCAATAGCAGGATTGATGGATCAAAAGTGTACCCACCTCTGTCTTTTCTGCCCCCTGTGTGGCCTCAATAACTTGATAGTTTCCAGCTCCCCCCAGATTTCTCGAGTGCTTTTTCAGTATACCATGACCCCTGAAGGAAACAAAGGGAAAAAAAGATGTATTAAGATAAACATCCTCCTTCCTTGTCTCTTTCAGGAAAGAACAGATGGTTCCTTGAGCAACAACATCCAATTTAATGACAAAATGAGACACAATTTTAAAACAACGTTCATTGTTATTTTTTCATTCCTCATCCTGATTTCTTTTATACTTTTCAGATTTATAACAGGAGCAGGATAAATTTCCTTGAGTAAGCAGCCCAGCAGTCTCATAAATGAGGAGTGTGTTTCCTCTTATTATTTTGTTCCCTTTTCAAACCCACCAATCGTATTCTGATCAATGTTTCTTGTGTTTTGCCCCAAGACTGTGTAACACAGGCGGTCAGAGACATACCTACTAAATAGTAAAAGCAACAGTATAGCAAAATATATTTTTTTCTTCAGCTTTTCAACTTTCCATTGAAAATAGTTTCACTAGCTGAGTGACAGCCTTTCTCAGATGTGTGACTTGAAAAGCCATAAATCCCTGCTTTTGAATTTCAATGCCAAGGAGCAAGGACATTGTTTTCCTCAATTATATAATATGGAGATTGGAACTCTGGAAGAGAAAATCCACCCAATAAAACCTGGCCCACACATAATGCCTCAGCATCAAAAGGTAACTTGAAATTTTGCTATGAATAGGCATCTGATGCACTCGCATGGTTTTCCTGTTCCTATCCTTTTAGATATTTCTATATCAAAAGCCCCCACTTTAAAACTAATAATACAGAAACCAACTGAGTCATTTCCATATATACTCCTGAAGAGGTGGCTACAACCGATCGCTGGGTAAACCAGGCTCCCTTTAACTCAGGCAGTCTATATATTTGAGCAGACACATAACAAATGCTTAGTTGTCCTAGATGAGAGAGCCATGTTTCTTTCCTGTTATGGAAATCATCTGTTCCTTTTTCTATAAAGCGTGAAACCAGGAATGTCAATATTCCTATGCTTGTATGTGCTAACTTTACTAGGGTTATTCAGAGCAGGACAGAGTCTAGTGCTGGTTGCTGTTTTCTTCTCTCCTTTCTATCTAATAAACCACCAAATTCTGTCTATTCCAGGCTCAAAATTGTCCTTGAACTCACTCTTCCTTCCAATTCCATTCCCACAGGCACCATCAAATTCCACCCTCCTCACCCACACCTGCCTCCATCCCATCAATTCTTACAGAGATTATGATATCTCTCACTAGTCTCCCTGGTTTGAGAAACAACCCTTCCAGTCCATATTCTACAGCCTACCACTCACTTTGGGATAATAACTGAACTTGTGATTGGTATAAAACCCAGGAATTATACGTGGTAGAAGTATTTCACCATGATTCTCAAAAAAAGTCTTTTTCTCCAAATGCCAATAGCATGTTAGCCATCTTTCAAGTTCATCTGTAAATAATTTCATTACTGTTCTTTCCTCTGCTTCCCACATTTCCTTATAGCTTACAAGTAAGCCAGTAAAAGAAAGTCCTCAGGGCTTGTAACACAGAGGGAGAAGCACTGAACTCAGTTCTAGTTCCAGCTTATCCCTGTATCAGCTGTTGACTTTGAGGAATCATCTTTTTTGTAGGTAAATGACAGAGCCTTGCTTATCAAATGGGATGGAAATATTTACCCTGCTTATCTCTCCACGTTGTTTTGGGAATCAAGAAAGATCACATACAATAAAATACACATATGCAATGTTATTTTATTACTCTTCCTGAAGTACTACAAAAGCAAAAAATGTGTTTCTTGTGTTTAACACTAGACTCAGTTTGGGGGTCCTAGAAAGGTAGCTGTGATCACACTCCCAAGACTTACAGCTTCCTTTTGGGAGTGTGATGGTCTCAAGAGTTTTGTTTTGGCTTGCAAAGGAATAATAAAATACCAAAGGAATCATACTCTAGCATATTTGGATTCCCAAGACATACTGAAATCAAAAAGAGGAAGAAAAGGAAAAGGGACTCAAAACAATGAGAAATCTTAATTGGCTGAAACTGCCATTTAATTAAAATAACTCAACTGTCACTTATGGCACAAATGTTAATACAATCTCTTTAAAACCCAGCTGAATCCTCCAGATATCACTGGACACTTTGCAATAGGAAATACAAGCCCATTCCCTATCACTGTATTGTAGGTTTTTAATTGGAGAATGTATAATGTGTACAACAGGATGAGTTCATTTTGCTTCTAAAGAGGAAATAAAAAATATCAACCTGAATATCACTCCACATATAAGCAGGACTGTAGCCTCCGTTGAAGTAGGTTTTATTTTAGACTAAAAAAAACCCACCAAAGGCATATATTTGAACTCATGCATCTAAACAGACCAATGAAAGTGTAGAAATTAAGTGCAGAAGGGGAAGCAGAGAATGGTAGGAATAAAGTCCACAGCTGTGTTTTCTTAAAATCCGGTGAGAGGAATGTTAATCAAAGTTCACAAAGTTTAAATTCTCCTTTGAACTGCATAGGTATAATCAAGTAAAGAAACACAACCCTCACTGAAGTATAATTTTTTTAATTTGAAATTATTGTCCCATATTAAGAAGGTAAGTTTGTTCATTCATTCATCCAGATACTCAAAAACCAATACTTACTGATTAGACTTTGTACAAGATGTGATAAAATGTGCTGGTTTGAACCCCTTGGCCACATGGGGCTAGCAACAAATACCAAAAGAATTGCACAAATAGGCCATATTAAAAACTTCCTGTTTCTTCCAACCAGAATGCATATCATCCCCCTGTGCTCTCACTAGTAGGCTCTGGGCCATCCTTAAAAGCCCAACTCAAAGGTTGCTGCTTTTGTAAAGCTCTTTGGAACTGCACAAGTTTGGTGTGAGTCGTAACCCCTGCCCCTAAATCACTTTGTTCATAACTCTCTGATGCACTTATCACGGTTGACTTCACATGACAGCTCTGCGTGTGTCAGTCTCCCCTAGCAGGCTGTGAACATCTTGAATGGCAATTTTTTATTCATCCATCTACAGCACTTGGCACAATATATTGTAGGTACTCAATTAGTGATTATTGAATGGAAAATTCATACATCTTTACTTGCATGAGCAAAAGGTATAGAATAACTTTAAAAGGACGAGTTGCAAATATTTTACTTATTCTTGCTACATGTAGTTCTAAAAAGATGAATTTATACCATGAACTTATACCTTTGTGAAAATATGGAAAATTCATGTATTTATAAAAGTGGTCACAACCAAATTAGCATTATTCTCTTCAAATTCCTTTATTTACTTATTCTTAAGTTTCCCTCTTCTGACCCTTAGATTAGTATCCTCTATTTTTTCCTACTTGATTGATTTGTATATGCTTGATTTCTATAATTGTGATAGCTTTTAAACTAACCTACGAACCAGATCCTTGGCAACTGCTACATTTTCAAAAGCTTTAATAGCTATTGTGTATACATAAAATTGCAAATAACCTGTTTTATCCCTTCCATCATTCAGCAAATATTATTACCTACCATGTGGTAGATGCCACAGAGAAAACAAAGACCCTGTTTCAGGGGACAGAGGGTTACAGCTAGAGCAGGTGATAAGAAATATACAAAAATGACCAAAATCAGAAATCTATCTAAGCGCCATATCTCTAATTTATCTAAAATTATTAATTAAAAAAAATTTTGAATGAAGCCTCAGTAGCTGAAGAATGAATTAAGAGGAACTGATGAAGATGACTACGAATCAGAAATACAATCATGTTTCAGATTCATTTAATACTAATAGTTAAACATCCTGTCTGTCTCCTAAGATTCAAGTCAATACCATAACCATAGGCAAAGTAAAATCAGGTTTTCTTGTTTTTTGATATTGAGCTGCATGAGCTGCTTGCAAATTTTGGAGATTAATCCTTTGTCAGTTGCTTCATTGGCAAATATTTTCTCCCATTCTGATGGTTGTCTTTTCATCTTGTTTATGGTTTCCTTTGCTGTGCAAAAGCTTTTAAGTTTCATTAGGTCCCATTTGTTTATTTTTGTTTTTATTTCCATTTCTCTAGGAGGTGGGTCAAAAAGGATCTTGCTGTCATAGAGTATTCTGCCTATGTTTTCCTCTAACAGTTTTATAGTGTCTGGCCTTACATTTAGGTCTTTAATCCATTTTGAGTTTATTTTTGTGTATGGTGTTACGGAGTGTTCTAATTTCATTCTTTTACATGTAGCTGTAAAGTTTTCCCAGCACCACTTATTGAAGAGGCTGTCTTTTCCCCACTGTATATTCTTACCTCCTTTATCAAAGATAAGGTGACCATATGTGCGTGGGTTTATCTCTGGGCTTTCTATCCTGTTCCATTGATATATATTTCTGTTTTTGTGCCAGTACCATACTGTCTTGATTACTGTAGCTTTGTAGTATAGTCTGAAGTCTGGGAGCCTGATTCCTCCAGCTCCGTTTTTCTTTCTCAAGATTGCTTTGGCTATTCGGGGTCTTTTGTGTTTTCATACAAATTGTGAAATTTTTTGTTCTAGTTCTGTGAAAAATGCCAGTGTAGTCTGATAGGGATTGCATTGAATCTGTAGATTGCTTTGGGTAGTAGAGTCATTTTCACAATGGTGATTCTTCCAATCCAAGAACATGGTATATCTCTCCATCTATTTGTTTCATCTTTAATTTCTTTCATCAGTGTCTTATAATTTTCTGCATACAGGTCTTTTGTCTCCTTAGGTAGGTTTATTCCTAGATATTTTATTCTTTTTGTTCCAGTGGTAAATGGGAGTGTTTTCTTAATTTCACTTTCAGATTTTTCATCAGTAGTGTACAGGAATGCAAGAGATTTCTGTGCATTAATTTTGTATCCTGCTACTTCACTGATTAGCTCTAGTAGTTTTCTGGTAGCATCTTTAGGATTCTTTACGTATAGTATCATGTCATCTGCAAACAGTGACGGCTTTACTTCTTCTTTTCCAATTTGGATTCCTTTTATTTCTTTTTCTTCTCTGATTGCTGTGGTTAAAACTTCCAAAACTATGTTGAATAATAGTGGCAAGAGTGG